ATAAGTATATATGTATACACATGTGCATGCATGTGAATACATATGTGTGTATGTGTGTATATTTATGTACATGTATAAGTATATATGTATACACACATGCATGCATGTGAATACATAGACACTATTCATGTATATTGTATATGTGTGCATAAATGTATATTACATATATATATATATATATATATACACACATCAAGTATCTTAGAGACATGTACTGAATGGTGTAAAGACAATTTCCTTACCTGAAAAACAGAGATTGAATCAGTCACTACACATTAAAATGAACATTCTTTTCCAACTTAACAATTCCAGTCAGTTCATAAGATACATGTATACACTCTTACCATGTGAATTACTTTTATTCCTAAAATGCTGACAGCTCTGAAATAGCTATGAAAATTGCCTCACAGGGAACTCTTGAAAATGATGTTTACAAGTTTAATAATACTATCTGGTTTCTCACCTTGATAAGTATGTGTTTCCGGTTCACCGCTTAATTGTAGTAATCCATTTATGAGACAGAACCACATTACCCTCTAGCACTGAGACTATTCCAAGCCTGGTCTTGGTGCAGGGCTCCTGTGTGGAATTAAAAGGAGAGGTTTTGAAATGAGCAGATTTAGATTGACAATGGAAAAAAAAGATCTAGTTTCACATCCCAGTTGGAGCCTACCAAGTGGCCTGCCATTGACAGCTACTTAAGCTTTATACATTTTTGTTTCCTCATCTACAAAATGGAGATAAGAGCATGACAGACTTTATAAGTTTTATCTTTATAATAAAAGGTTGCATGCCACATGCATAGTTTTGTATGATTTTTTTTATAGCATCCGCTCTTGGCTGATGAGAGTTGTTTAGTCTGAATCAATAAGACCTTTACTCAACTGCTGGGAAACTTGAGTTTCAGCTTTGTGCTGTGCTGTGTAGGTAGAATATCTATCTGTCTCTTAGCTCTTCTGTCTGTGAAACTAGACTATGTTCACTCGGATCTACCTACTTCACAGGGATGTTAGAACAGCCAACAAATGAGGAGGAAAATACTTTGAACTGTTGAAATAAAAGGTGTCATCAGAATCAAATAGAGTTCTGCAGACATTCTAAACTCAATTTAAAACAAATGTGATGTGCATTTATTATATGAATATAGGCCTTGGTGGGTTTATGCATTGTGATGACCCAAAGTTATCAAAATCCATAGCTGTGACAAGTGTCCAGAAGCCTTGCTTATCCGAACAGGACAAATTACACTGAGCAAATAAATTCCCTGAGTTGATGATAAGTCCTCTAGTGTTATTCTGAAGAGACATAGCCCCTGTGACAGAATTGCAAATGTTCCTTTGAAGGTAACTGTTGTATTTCAACATACATGCCCAAGGAACTGAAAGAAGTAAAACTTTTAAGTGTACAAGAATCTAAAATTAACTATGTGAAATATAAGAAATTGTACATACAAGTCTGTAAAACACTCACAGAATGTCAAAGACCTGAAGGCCTTAGAGAATACTTTTTCTTGTTTGGCTATGCAGGAATTGTTGGTGTTTAAAAGAAAAACAGTGGTTTGTTGTTTTTTGATAAGTCAGTATTCAATATAGATTTGTGTCATAGGTGATATTTTGACTTCTTCTTCATTTCGTTGCTACAGTATAATAAAATTAGTACCAGGGAATGAGTACTTGCAAGAGGAAAGGTGGAGGTCAAAGGGAGAAGAGTAGATGAATGAAGGGGCAAGGGAGAGAATGCAGTCAAGAATTTATTGTATATACCACAAAATTAAGAAAAATAAGGGAAGCGGTGGGCTGAAGCAGGGGTGAAAAATGTTGAAGGGCTGACACAGATGCGTTGGCTATATAAACTTTTGTTAAATGGCAAAAAAGTCAATACATACCCTAAAATATTATGAAAAGCAAGGGAAGGAGTGGCTTGGGAAGGATGGGTAAGAATACTGAAAGGAGTGACATTGATTAAGATACGCTACATTCCTATACTGCTATGTTGAATGGCAACTCCTTTGTACAACTACGTATAGATAATTAAAATATTCAAAAAGTAAAGAAGAGAGAGGGGAAAGGTGGGAAGGGCAGGGATGGATGATAATGCTGAAAGGGTGATATTGATCAAGATACATTGCAACAGGCCCAAAGAAACATAGGTCCCATGGTTTCCCTTATTTGCAATAACTAGTATATGGCTGAGACAAGCAGAAACAGTCAGATAAGTTGATGTTAGGTGTAATGAACCCCAAGATAAGGACTCAAATGGTTTTTCTTTCTTGCTATTGTTTTTAACGTATTTATAGGATATTTCTTTGCTGCTTTGTATGTCCCTCCCCTACGGTATAACCCCTGCTTTCACTGTATTTGATGTTGGTATAATTTGTGGAGGGGAAGGGGGGAAAGACAATTGTTTAACTAGGGATACAGGTGGACCCATTGCAACAATGAGATGTACAAAATGTTATGTCGAAAAACGAATTTACAACTTTGGCACGGGGGTAAAGGGGAAGGGAAGACAGTGGTGGGGGAGATGGGAAGGGATGGGAAGGGGAAACAAAGGAGGAGGCAACAATGCTTGATAAGAAATATACTCATAACCTTGCTCATGTAATTGTAACCCCTATGTATGGTATTTTCACAATAAAAAAAAATGAAATGAATTACAAAGAAAGAAAAAAATAAACTGTTTCATTAAATGGTACAACTACTTAAAACTAATAATAAATGTAGAATAAAAGAAAAAGAAAGCACCCTAAAAATAAAATATAGTAATACAGCCAACTGTTGAATCTGAAAGATCTAAAATAGAACTCTAGTCATGTTTCTAGGATGAAATGCAATTTTATCATTTAAACATCAATTAGGTCAGGTGAAATTATAACATAGAACCAGAAACAAATTATTCCATCTTGCTGAGTATAAATGCCTCACACTTATAATCCTATCTACTCAGGAGGTTAAGATCTAAGTATTGCAGTTCAAAATCAGTCTGGGCAAGAAAGTCTCTGAGACTCTTATCGCCAATTAAGAAGCAAAAAAATAAATAAAAAAGCAGAAAACAGAGCAGATCTGTGGCTCAAATGGTAGAGGTCTAGTGTGAACAAAAAAGCTCAAGGACAGAGGGCTCAGGCCTTGAGTTCAAATTCAAGAATGGCAAAAACAAACACAAATGTTTATATCTTGTTAAAGTACATAATATATTTTTTTCAAATTTTAGGTGTAAATAATACTCAATTGTGAAACAGACTAAAGTCAAAGAAAGACAAAACTATTTGAAAATGACGGGTGCTGCTGGCTCACGCTTGTAATCCTAGATACTCAGGAGGCTGAGATCTGAAGACCATGGTTTAAAGCCAGCCTGGGCAGGAAAGTCTGTGAGACTCTTATCTCCAACAAACCACCAGAAAAACAGAAGTGACACTGTGGCTCAAGTGGTGAACAGCTCACCTTGAGCTGAAAAGCTCAGGGACAGTGCCCAAGGCAGAGTTCAAACCCCATAATGGACACACACACACACACACACACAATTGAAAATGATTGCTATGGCTAGCCTATAGCATGACCAAGACTGACCAAATCAGAGATCTAAGTTGGAGCCTCTTCTATCAGGTAGAGTAACTTGGTTGCAAGACTAATATATTCACAGAATAACTGAAAAAAATAACTATTTTCTAAAGCAGTTGCTCAAATTTTCCTTCTCGTTATTATTTCAAAATTTGAACTCGGCTTCACTATTAACCTAAGACCTGAGGGATTTGAATGGTGGATCCTCAGACAGGTAGCCTCAGCTTTTGAATTCGTGGCTTGGAATTTTAATTTCTTATTTTGTGTGTGTGTATGCAGAAAAGTTAACAACATTCATTTCATGTGCTCCTTGAAGAAACATTGTCCAAATACTCAACCAAAACTGGTTTGTGTAAAGAGCAGCAGGGATACTTGAAATCTTTGTGCAAGATGAGATGTTGAGCATAAAGTATCTAAACGTCAAACACTTTCTTCTCCTTCTAGGACTGCACAAAAATTGAGAATTTTCATAATGTGATCACTGAAGGTATAAACTTGAGCTTTCTCATCCCCTTCATTTCAAACAATGGGAATTACACATGTGTTGTTACTTATCCAGAAAATGGACGCATCTTTCATCTTACTCGGACTCTGATTGTAAAGGTGGTAGGTAAGCAGAATTCATCATTTGCACATTCATACCCAAATGAACCAGTCTTGTTACGGCACTTTGTTTCTTGTATACAAGCATGTCAACTGTATGAGACCTCCACCAGCCCCATGGCCTCTAGCTATTCCATGTTCAATAACTGGTTGCCTGGTTTCATATGTGAATGAGTGAAGAAAAGACTGTTAGGGAAGACCCAGTGAATGATGTAAATAGAGTGTGTTAGCCAGGTATAATGGAACATGCTACCTTTCATCCCAACTTTGAGAGTCTGAGATAGGAAAATGGTGAGCTCAAGGCCAGCCTGGATTACATGTGAAGTTTAGGCCAGCTCAAGCTACATAGTGAGATGTTGAGCACTATACCCATCACTTGTTGTTTTCCAGTTTACATTCAAATAGTAAAGGTCCTTAGAAATGCTGCAATACAGAGAGGTATTTTTTTTCTTTCAACTATTACACAGAGCTGTAATCACATGGATGAGCTTCCAACATTCCTCAGGTCTACTTATGGGATGGCCTTGATACTCTTATTTAAATATCTGTGGATTTATTCATTTATTTATTACTTATTTGACCAGGTCTCAGAGTGGGCACAGAGCATTTTAAGGAGAAATATTTAGGTAACAATCACAACAAATGACTACAGAGTATAAATTGAAAATATCATGACTTATTTTTCAATTAGAATGACTTTACATCTACATCTACTCCCCAACACACACACACACACACACACATACACACACGGACTACACAGGAAAAGTATATAGTAGTTTAGTATAGTATAACGTATAGTATAAATATAGTAAGTATAGTAAGTCAATCTCATATAAGCTTTTAAAATCATGAACTTTGGTCAAACAATCCAAGTAATCTCTGCTTGAAACATGGGAAAGACTCAACGTGTTTTGTTTGTTTCTTGGCAGAGGAAAAAAAAACTTGCTTTTTTTGTACTTAACAACACTTCTGTCACCAAATTTGTGAATTTTCCATACTAAGCAATTCTCCATTTCTCTGCAAATACCATCTGTGTGTTGTACAGTTTAATTCATTTGGATACTAACCACCTGAAATGAACACAGACCCCACCAACTAAGGGCTCATTTCTATAAGACTGTCCCTACTCTTCCTTCAGATGCTATTTGCAAGCAACTGCCTGGTTGTCCATGCCCCTGCCCCTCTTTGTTTTCAAATCGCAGCTGCCCATCACTTCCTCCTCATTTACATTAGCTCCTAAAACTCAAGGAATCACCTTACTTACATTTACTAATTTCTTACAAGAACTTCAAGGGACCAGCATGTAAAGGCCAGGTGGAGAAGGATTGTAGATGATGGATCCTTGTTACATAACATTAAAGTACACTATCCACTGTGTCCTCATAGCTGGATGATATGTTTACCAACCCCAAAGCTCTTCACACCTCACTGTTCAGGATATTCATTGAAGTACAATCACCTAGTGATTCATTGAACCATTTATATCCGTGATTAATCTAGTCTCCTCCCTCTGATTTCACCTCCCTGAAAGAGATGGGTTGCGACTGAACATCCCAGACCTTCCATTATGCCTTGATCTTTCTGATTCAAATCCAGAAGACTTCACTCTGAAGTCATCTAGGGAGCCACAACCAATATTCATCTGGTTATCATGTAAAGAGACATTCTTAACTCTTTCAGTTTCTAGGGTCTTAGAAACGCTTGGGTCAGACACTGGGGGCTTAGACAAAAGATGTTCATATTACCCATGATAGTCAGGAAATTAAAGGCGATTTCAGGAGGTCTGTGTCAGCTCTTAGTTAAAGAAGCCAAAATGGTTTTTACATTATGTGACCCTTTGCTTGTTAATGAATAAAGTGTAGTGAGTGAGTATAGTTTAGAATATGATCTTTCTCAAGAGTTGACAGATTGTGCCTGGAAGTTGGGCAAGGCTTCTCAGGAGATTGTTTTTAATGTCACTTTCTTTTTTTGTTTGTTTTTCAATCTTCTACCACAGGCTCTCCAAAAGATGCAGTGCCTCCTCAGATCTATTCGCCCAATGATCGTGTGGTATATGAGAAAGAACCAGGTAATTATAACTGTGCATCTAAATTTCAATTAGATTATCTTAAATACAAAAAAATTCAATGTCAGTTAAGTCAGTACAGTACAGTAAATGCAGTCACACACACACACAAACACACACACATACACATATACACACGCACATACAAATTTAAGCTGAAATGTCAGAAACCAAGGCATCTGGGGATCATCTACATCATCCATCTTGAGGGCAACTAAAGGAGCCTCTGCTTTGCGCAGAACCTTCTCAGTTTTTCCTCTGCTGGTTAGTGATTGCTTTACAAAAGGCTTTGGTTTATTGGAGCTGCAACATGAGCACAAGACAGACTCTAAACTTCTGATCTGCTGTGCAAAAGCAAAGGGTGGGATAGGAGGCAAGGCTGTATCGTGGATAGAAATAGATAAAGCCAATGCACCTGGATTCAGAGCACTTACAAATGCTAGTGTGCCTTTTTTGTTTCAAGCTAAACCAAAATCATTTATAACTGATCAAATAGCAGGTCACTTAGTGATTTTTTTTACTCAAGCCTCCCAAAATTAATTGAATAGAACACTGTAGAAAAATGTAAAATTTCCTACTCATATCATTTACAATAAAGCCATTCCAGGCACAACAAGAGATGTAAAAGAAATTTGTCTTAACATAGAGCTCTGTTTTCTGTTTCCTTTCTGTTGTCAGTTGTGGGGCTTGGACTCAGGGCCTGGGTACTGTTCCTGAGCTTGTTCACTCAAGGCTAGGATTGTACCACCTTGACATACAGCACCACTTCCAGTTTTCCAATGGAGCTAAGAGTTTCATGGACTTTCATGCCCTGTCTGGCTTTAAGTTTTGCTCTTCATATCTCAGCCTCCTGAGTAGCTAGGATTACAGGTGTGAGCCACTGGTGATCAGAGACATCTGTTTCAAGTGGTCAACATAGGTAGAGAATGACCATCAAAAAGAAAACATGTAGATCATTTTTCAAATATGATTTGCCTAGCAACAAGTAGTGAACACAGGAAGGGGGTTCTGCCAACCCAGGTCAAATTGCCTAGGATTAGCTCTGATTTTACAATATAAATATAAAAGTTCTCCCCACTGTCAGTAACCTTGCTAATCACAGAAATATGTCCAATCTACTTATACTTCAAAATATTCCTGAATTTGTGTTTATTTCATTATCTTTAATGAAATATTGCTATAGAAACCTGGAGGGAAAGGCCAAAGTGCCATGCATTGGAATGGAATTTAACCACTAGTTAGATAAAACCTACGCTTAAATCAGAAGGACAACAGAATTTGTCCTCCAAAATTAAACATGTCTGGGGAGCAAACACAGTCAATATTAATAGCTAACCAGGAAACAGGCACAAAACAAAATTGTTCTGGGCAAACTGGGATAGAAGGTTCAGTCTAGGTCAATTTCTTAGCTACTACTTATTAATAATTTGACCTAGAAATGTTCGCTACTATCCAGAAGCTTGAGGTTTTGCCTCTGTGGAACATGAATTTTAAAAGCACCTCATCCTGTTTGATTAAAATTAAATGAGAATATTAATAGGTATCAATATTTAGCACCATTGCTTGTACAAAGTTCTGAGTGAGTGTGTTGGGTTGCTCTCGTTGCTGTTGGCTCTGTGTGAAGGTCTCCCTTACTGCATTATCCATCTCTAAAGAGCAGCTAAAATTTCTATTTACAAACTATGTCCTTTTCTTAATTTTTCATTTAGGACTTTTAGATTTCTTGTGTGCGTGCATGTGTGTGTGCATGTGCATATGTGTGTGTGTGTGTGTGTGTGTGTGTGTACGCACACGTGTGCATATCCTAGGGCTAGAACTCAGTGTCTGGGCACTGAACTTCAGCTCATTTGATCAAGGCTAGCACTCAACTATTTGATCCACAACTCAAATTTAGCATTTTTGATGGTCGTTTGAAGATGAGTCTCAAGGACATTTCTGCCAGTGGCTGGCTCTGAACTGTGATCCTCAGATTTTGAGATGCTACAATTATAGTTATAAGCTACAGGCCCCTGGTAATTCTTTAATATATATATGTGTATGTGTGTGTGTATATATATGTATACACACACATATGCATCTGTTAATTGTATAAAGAGTATTTCATTGTGACATGCTCATACAAACATAAAATATATCCTGGTCAAACAGTCTCTTAAAATTCTCCATTCTCCCTGAAGTCCTTAAAAAATAAGTTCTATTGTGCTATTTTCATAAATGTACTTAAAATATTTAACCATATCCACTCTCATTCAACCTTCTACATTGGGTCTTCCAATACCTACTGGTGCCCATCCTCCAACAGAGCCTGTTTTACTTTCACTGATTGATTGTTTTTTTTCCACTTTTTTTTTGTCAGTCATGGGGCCTGAACTCTGGGCCTGGGCACTGTCCCTCAGCTCTTCAGGTCAAAGCTAGTGCTTTACCACTTCAGCCACAGCACCACTTCTGGTTTTTTCTGCTTATGTGGTATTGAGGAATCGAACCCAGGGCCTGATGCATGCAACACAAGCACTCTACCATTGAGCCACCTTCCCAGCCTGTTTTTTTTTCACTTTTTAAAAAACTGTATCTTAATTGTACAAAAGGGGTGATGCTATGGTATTTTACATGTGGGTATAATTTAACCAGGTTAACCTCTTCTCTTTCTCTTTTTCCTATCTCCTAACATCTTATCATTTAACAGATTTCAGTGAGATTCCTAATTGCCATCTTCATACATCAACACAATGTATCCCAGTATTACTCATCTTACTTAATTCTCTTTTCTGCTCCTTACTGTCCCTGTCTCCCAAACACTTCTTTGGTTCATTAATTCATTCATTCATTCATTCATGTTCTCTCCATATACACATGCATACACACACTCACACATACAAGCCTGAACATCTATATTTTAGGTCTATATTCCTCAAATGAGAGAAATCATGTGATAGTTGGATTTTTGAACCTGGTTTGTCTCATTCAATCTCATGATTTCAAATTCCATCCATTTTTCTGCAAATGACATTTTATGTTTTTCGTTCTGTCTACCAATGTTTCATGCTATTTCCATACCATATATCCTTTTTTATTGTTTCTTTTGAATAGTGTAGTAGAAGGGTTTTGATTTAGCTTGTTAGTTTATGTGTACAATGCCTTTTAATCAGTGTCATCCCTTCCATGACTCTGACCACGTGATTCAGTCTCTCTGAACCTGGCTTACTCCATTCAACATGATTTTTTCTAGATCCATTCCTTTCCTTCAAATGACTTGATATTATTCTTCTCAATGCATGAATACAATTCTATTGTGTATATATACACACCATTTTCTTGACCCCTTCACCAATGGTAGGGCATCTGGGATATTTCTGTGATTTGACTATTGTGAATAGCGGTACAACAAGTAGGAGTTTTCCTTGTATCTTAACTTACAATCTTTTGGATAAATGCCCCCAAATGGTTGCTGGATTATAGGATAATCCTATAATCCAGCAATACTATTCTTGGGTATATATAAAGTGGTTGCACTAGTAATGTGTTACAAAAGCTTGTTTCAAGATGAAGGTGCCTAGCTATTTCTCTGAGTAATATCATTATTGCATTTTCTTAGGCCAAACCCACAAGATGGGGGATATTTCTTCAGCCACAAGGAGTGGCTGCAGAAATGTTTAATCAATATCTTCTAAAATATTGGTCAAATATATTTATATTGACTAACATGGAACAAAACTTGACATTTTAGAGCATATGGACTATATTAAAATTGGTCATTCTAACAATTTCATGTAAAATTGTTGGCCTTTTTTTCTTCACTTTATTGTTTTGTGTATTTTGTTGTGGAATGAACTATGGCACACATTGTCTTTTGGTAGGTAACTAGGGCAATAGACCAATATATACATATGAAATGTGTTTCATTCAATGTAACGTTTCATTCAATATAAACACATGAAAGTTAAAAGTTGGTGTGTTAACTTCATCTTGTTTATTTTTTTTTGGTTTGCTATTAGGAGAGGAGCTGTTGATCCCCTGTCAAGTCTATTTTAGTTTTATAAAGGACTCCCACAATGAGATTTGGTGGACCATCGATGGGAAAAAGCCTGATGACGTCACTATTGACATAACCATCAATGAAAGGTATTGCATGAGCATGTGCATGCCAGGGGGACTATACTTTCTTCCTCAGGTTAATGTCCTTTGATGAGTATTAACCAATGAGTATCACAAATTGAATTTAGTGTAAGGCTTTGAGTTTAAACCTTTATACTGATGCAATATGGTACAAACAAATAATTAATGAAGGCAATATAGTAGTTTGGACCTATTAATTCTACATACTTAGGAGACTGAGATCATAACTGGATGCCAGCTGAACAAAAGTTTGCTAGACCCCTTCTCAGCCAACAAATGGGTATCGAAGCCCTTGTCTGTCATCCCAGGTATGTGGGCAACTGAAAAAGTGATGCTCATGATTACAGATCAGTGTGGGGGTGGGGTTGTACATGAGGCTTCATCTCAACAGAAGAGGTAGGATATGGGGTGGTAGGAATCTATCATCACAGCTATAGTAGTAATTGTAAAATTGGAGAATCATGGTCCAGTTATAGACTAGAAGAAAGTGAGATCCTATTTTAAATAACCAGTGCAAAATTAGCTGAAGGCATGGCTTGGAAACAGAATACCTGTCCTGTGTACAAATTACAATACTATTCCCCCTAAAAAAAGAGTTGAATGAAAAAGGTAATATTCATCAGTTGACCCACAGGAAATGTAACATATTCTTTTAAACCCAGCAAGTCTTTTCATATGTTGCTAATGTTCACTTGGAAGTAGATGGAATATGTATCCTACAAGAATGAAAAGGCTACAATGTAAGGTTAGACTGGGATACATGGAACTGGTTGTTTTCTCTTTCCCAGTCCTTCAGTATATGCCTCTGTGTTTGATAATTATGGCTAGTTCTTTTATGGATGTAAATATTCATTTCCTCTTGTCTTCCTTCTAAAATATTTGATCATTTTTCTTACAATATTGGTCAAATACATCAATGTTCACTAAAATTTATTTTAAAAATGTATGGGAAATAACATAAGCTCACTATTAAAGTAATTACATGGTTATTCTGTGCTTAAATCAGCCTGATTTTGTAGGGAAGCTGATGAAGTAGAAAGAATGGGTGTTGCAAGACAGATGATTTCTCTGTAAATGAAGTATACAAGGCCAAAGGACAACTAGCTCACTGCTGCAGTGAATGTAATCAACAACGATGAACTCTTTGACTGTTTTATCACCCATGTGCAAATAGGCTTAATGCTACTTGAAGTCAAAAGGCACTTCTTTCCTGAGTTCAGGCATTTTTGCAGAAATTATAAAATGTCTACTTCGGGTAGATTTTATAGGCATAATAATGAAAGAACAGACATTTGAATATAATGTGATAAATTCAGTGACTAGGAAGGATTGGATGTTACAGGAGTAATTAATAAGGGACTCAGTCAAATTTTGAAATTAAGCAATACTTTTCAGATGATGTAGCACAAAGATCAAGATTTGAAGGATGAGTAGAAATTGGGTGGATAAAGGAATATGGAAAGATTGTTTCTGGTAAATGAAGCATTAAAAGCAAAGGCCTGGAGATTAGAGAAACAGAGCATATTGAAGATACAAAAGGAGTGCTCTGAAATTGAAATTATTATTATTATTACTGTTATTACTACCATTGCCTAATGGATTGATAAAAGACATGACTGGAAACTCCAAGAAGAGTTATTAGTATTTCAGAAATTCTGAATTCATAATGATAATTATGAATGAACAAGAAGGAAATTGGGTTGTTTTCCCCTTGCTGTGATCGAAACACATTCTCAGTTCAAGAGAATGAGAGAGTTAAGCTGAGGGTAGACCAATGAGAGTCTTTAACCAAATTTTCATAAATAACAGTAACCTTGGTCCCAAGGAGAACATGGGCAGTGTTCAACTAACTATATGTGAGAAAGGTCTTTTTCTCTTTGGGTAATGTGGTTCAAATAATAGCAAATCTTAATCTTAAACCTAAAACATGTGATTTTTGTCTCACTGAAGTTTGGATGTATTTCTTTTCATGAAGTTTTCTTGCTTCAAGCAGCCTCTTCTCTTTCTATATTAGAATTTAACTGTGGAAATTTCAGCCTCTTAGCCAAAATATTCTGCCTGTGTTCAGAATCTAAGATTTTGTAATCACTGGAGGTCAGCAATCATTACTGTGGGATGGTACTAATAGCCTACATGAGTATTTCCTAAGCCATCTTCTAATGCGTATGCATTAAACCATTCAGTCCTCAGAATTTTTCATAAATTAATGCATGTATTATATACTGTATGAGCATTACCATTTTCTTCTTTTACAAAACAGGAATGAAGATATGAAAATATTAGTTATTTTGCTCAAAGTACATAGTAGTAAGTGTTAAAAACCTGGACCCAAATTCAAATGGGTCTGGTCCCAGAAGATTCTTTCCATACTGGTTCAGCATCCAGCCTTAGAGGGGGCATGTTGCTATGCAGATAAAGCTGTAAGAGAAGCCAGTATTGAGATTCTAGCTGGCAATAAGATAGTGTGGAGAGTTGATGGAAATGAGAGTTACCACCAAGCTTTGCTTCTATTCTAAACCACTACATTACAGGCAACCCTGCTTATCATCATCCTGTCCATCTGCTCTCCCCTGGGTACCCTGCTTACTCGTGTGATACACACAGGGCATGGCCTTGAGTCTCACTGATACTTTGATTTTCTTTTTTGGTACTTAGTGTAAGTTATTCTAAAACAGAAGATGAAACAAGAACTCAGATTTTGAGCATCAAGAAAGTTACTCTTGAGGATCTCAAGCGCAACTATGTCTGTCACGCAAGAAATGCCAAAGGAGAAGTTGACAGAGCAGCCAAGGTGAAGCAGAAAGGTAATGGATGTGCTCAGCAGATGAATCTGTGAACCCCAAATGTGACCTTGTGGTTACATGTGGCAAATAGGAAAACAAAAAATTGAGAAGAGAGTTCCTGAACTTTGGCACAACAACCATGGCACATAATAATGAGTCCAAGATAAATGAAAAATCTTCAGAACAGATTTCAATCTATGTAAAGATGCACTAAATACAATTTCTGATAGTACTGGTAGCTTAGTGCTCAAATTTTACTGAAATTTACATGATTATAGTAGCATAATTTTACATCTGTATAACCATGAAAATTTAAAAATAAAGGGATATGACAAAACTCTCAGAATCATATATTATTGGTGAATTACAAAGGAGCTTTTACAAATCATTGACAGCACAGTTCAAGAATCCTAAAAATGACCATATCATATGACCTAATGCTTTTGGAATTTTTCCTTCCTACATAGCAGAAATAGAATTATGTATTTGTAACTATTCTTAGAAGAACTGATAATAATGCAATATAAATAGAAACTGTCTAATTGTTTGCAAGAAGTTAAGTGGATCATAAGAATACGTATTCCCAGAAAAAGATAAAAAATTTAAATTATCACTTTAAACCAGATCTATCAATACTCATGCCATTTTATATCTTTCAGTCTGTTTTTAAATTCATTTTAGTATTTCATTATCTTTAAATAATTGTATAGTGACAAAGTGGTTTATGAATTCAATGTGTCTTGATCAATATAACTTTCAACATTCTTACCCATCCCTCCCAAACTATCCCTTTCCTCACTCAGATAGTTTTACAATGTACCACTGACCACAAGTGCTAAAATTATTTGAGATGTGATCTGAAATCTTCAATGAATTATATGTTAACATGACTAGATTTTTCTACAATAAATAAAATTTATCAAGTGCTCTTGTGTGAGCTATTGCTCCGGGAACAGATTAAGATTCACTGTGGTTTTCTCCCCTAGAACAGAATCCCAGATAATCTCTTTGACAAGTAATGGTATCATCCTATATGACCTGATTAGTGTGCTCCAAAAGATCCTGGATCCCAGTGTACTCTAGAGCTTATTTGTGTTTAAAGTTGAAAAACCTCCCTCAAGATTTTCATGTTTTCCATGGGGCCTAAATCCATTTTGTAAAGTTGATGACCAAGAAGTCTGTACCCAAGCTTTTCCTTACATAAAAATGAGAGAGAAAGGATCTAGCCTTAAAGTATCTATCACTCTGGAGAAGTGACAGTGGGTCTGTTCAGGATAAGCCATTACTTCTCTCCCCAGGGAAGCCTGAGTACATGCTGTTAGGTCCCTTTCACTGTTAATTCTTGACGTTAGCCCTGTGAAGGATCATTATGGCACCTCCAAGCATTATTTGTACTATAGATTTGGCCTGTCAGCACCCTGTGCATCCTAACTCTATGACCATGGGAACGTCTATAAATCTCTCTGGGTCTCAATTACTTCATCTTCATTAGGCAAAAATAACATCAATGTCTCATTAGCTAAGTGGTCAGAACAGATGCAGTTATAAATACATATGATATCAAATGCTAAAAAAAGTTAGTTCTTATTATTTTTACAAGGATTTTATCAGTGGATATTATTTGACAAGCACATTAAGAGTCAAAATAATGATGATCTAAGTCAACAAAATCAAGCTGATTTACTTCAAGATCTCTTAGAGTCATTAATAAATGATATTTCATAACTGCATCTTCAGAGGGTTGGATTGTTGTAGGTGGAATGTTTTCAAATATATTTGACTTCTAATTTCTTAAGGGTGTTCTGCAGTCTGTTCTGTTAATACATTTATCTTGTTTTAGTTTAATAAGACTTTATCTTGTTTAACACAGTGTTAAATATGTTACAGCTACATGTCCTCCATTTTGTTCTCCAGAAAATTTTTCTAGGCAATATATATTTCTCAATTTCTACACAAAAGCTGCCAAAATTTTGGTTGGTACTGTATTAATTTAACAGATAATTTGGGGGCAACTGAAGAAATAACAATATTGAGATTCGCTGAATCTCACTGATCTTTTCTGCTCATGGCTAGTGCTCAACTACTTGAGCAATAGGATTTGTCTGTCTGGACTTTCCTTGAACTGGGATCCTTAGATCTTAGCTTTCTGAGTAGCTAGAATTACTGGTATAAGCTACCAGTTGCTGGCTTAGTAACTTCTTGAAGTATTTGAGCATATAAGTCTTGAACACATAGTAGACAAATTTATTCTTTGAATTAACATTTTTATTTTGGTAATTATCCATTGATAAACATAAAAGTGCAATTAATTGATTTTTGTGTATTGACCTGATATTTTGACCATACTAAATATAGTAATTAAATCAATGTAATAAAGTGTGTTTTTTGTTTTGTTTTGCTTTCTGTTTTGGATTGCTAAAATATATCTATATGCTTGAACTTGTCATCATAAGTGAATAGATCTTTATTTCTTCTTTTCCTAGTTTTATACCATTGATTATTTTTACTTCCTTTTGGCCTATGGTATAATGATCAATAGAAGTTACTACAACTGCTGTTTTGAATTGTTCCTAAATTTGAAGGGCAAGCATTCAGTTTGTATATAAGTAAGATGTTGTTTATAGGCTTTTCTGTAGATGAATTATATTTGCTGTGCTGAACCTTCTCTCTCCTCTTTGCCTCCTTTCCTCCTCCTTCATTTTCATCCTTTCTCCTTCTCTTCTTCCTTCCCTTCCTCCCATCCTCCCTCCCCCCTTCTTCTCTCCTTTCCTTTTCCTTGTATTGAGTATGTTTTGTTGAATTCTTACTTCAGTATATTGAGAAAGCCTTGGCTTTTTCTTTTTCTCATCTGTCCTTGTGATGATTTATAGTAATTGTTTTAAAATGCTTATCCAATCGTGCATTCCTACACTAACCCTCCATACCATCATAATGTATTGACATAAAAAGTCAATATAAAAACTACTGCCAGACTGGATTTGCTAATACTGTGTTACAGACTTCTGCTCACTTTAAGGGTTTTTCTCAGACCTTTCAATGTAAAGGATTCTGATTTATCATTTTCTTTTACTGTCAATTTTTGACTAATGGCAGAGTTGTGCAAGCCTCATGAAAAGAGTTATTTTGCTCTAATCTGAAAGACTTGCAAAATTAATATTTATTTCTGGGTCAGATCTTCATAAAACTACTTATTTAACTATCTAGACTTGGTATTTTCTTTATTAGAGAGCTTTCAATTATATATTAAGTTTCTTCAGAGGTTTTTCAGATTTTCCATTTCTTTGTACAAGTTTTGGGAATCTTTTCTTCTAGGATTAAAAACATATTATGAAGGTGATGTACAAAAGCATACAGTTACATGATTCAGGTAATGAATGAGTAGATTTCCTTTTGAACAGTGTCATCCCCTCCCTCCTTCTCTCCAAATTTTTCCTCTCATGAATTTCATCCCTCCCCCCCATAATTGTACAGTGCATTTCCAACAAAGTGGCTGGTGAGTTTCACTGCTGAATTGGTTCATCCTCTGTTCCACCATTTCTGTGTTTCCCTTCCCCTCCCCAAATCAGATAAACTTACATACAAGACAAAGGGCACACAAATTTAAAACAATGACAGAAAGGAATTAACCAAAGGAGAACGAAGAGAACTGCACACAGAATAATAAAAAGAAAAACTTTTCTCTGCCATTTCTTGGAGTTCATTTTGATAAGCATCATTTTATATGATTTTATGTAAATAGTTGTTGAACCCTTGAAATCCTCTCCTAAGAATGTGTGAGTGTTCAGATTGCTGTTTAATTAATCATGTCCAGGTAATTATTTGCCTTTTACTTTCCATTGGGTTCCTTGTATATTTATAGGCACATTCTAGTTATTACAAGGGAAGGAAACCATGCAGCCAATGTTTCTTTGGGTCTGGCTTACTTTGTTTAGTATAATTTTTCCAAGTCTTCCCATTTCCTCACAAATGTGGCAATGTCATTCTTTCTGATGGAAGCATAAAATTCCATTGTGCATATATACTATATTTTTTTTGATCCATTCATCCACTGAGTGGCATCTGGGTTGATTCCATCTCTTGGCTATGGTAACCAATGCTGCAGTGAACATGGACATGCTGGTGGCTTTAGTGGTTAATTTGATACATACCCGAAGCGGGATTGTTGGGTCATAGGGAAGCTATATGTTTAATCTTTTGCAGAACCTCCATACTGCTTTCCAAAGTGGTTGACAAGTTTACATTCTCATCAAGGTAGTAGTGCTCCTTTTGGCTACATCCCTGCCAGCATCTGTTATTGTTAGTTTTCTTGATAATGGTCATTCTAACTGGGGTGAGGTGGAATCTCAGTGTTTTGATTTATATCTTTTATGGCCAGAGAAATGGAATATCATCATGTGACTATTGGCCATTCTTATTTCTTTTTTGGAGAAGTCTCTCTTTAAGTCTTTAGCCCATTTACTAATTGAGTTTTGTATCTTTGAGGATTTGTTTTGGGGAGGTTTAATTTATTGAGCTCTGTGTATATTTTAGATATGAGCCCCTTGTCTGATGCATAGCTAGTAAAAAAATTTTCCATTATGTGGACTATTTATCATGCTATGTCCTTTGCCATTCAGAACTCTTCAGTTTGATGGAATTCCATTTATCCAGTCTTTCTTTGATTTGTTGTGATTCTCAATCTTTACTTAGGAAGTTTCAACATGTGTCTAGGAATCCTACTCTTTCCTCTATCCTTTCCTGTAATATTTGCAAGGTCTCTGGTCTTACATTAAGGGTGTTGATCAATTTGGAGTTGATTCTGGTGCAGGGTGATATATAAAAATCTAACTTCAGTTTTCTACATGTATATAGCCAATTTTGCCAGGACCATTTGTTGAAGAGGCTGTCTTTGTTCCATGGTGTGTTTTGGGTTTTTTTGGATCCAGTCATGGGGCCTGAACTCTGGACCTGGGCACTGTTGCTCAGCTCTTCAGCTCAAGGCTAGCACTCTACCACTTGAGCCACAGCGCCACTTCCGGCTT